AGGAACCCTTTTTGGTTATCCTTGACCAGAAGACTGTTTCTTTCAGTGGCCAATTACCTATACAATAAACACTATAGAGATTCCCAATTTAATGAGGATGGGGAAGCAGCTTTCAATAAAGACCATTAAATGGCCTTAAATTTACACAGTACGCATTCAATAAATACATTGCTAAATTTGGTGAACCCACACAAGAGAAGATACCACGTGAGTCAAATACACCAGGAGTAATTCCTCTGGTTACAAGTTTAAAGGTAGGTCCACTTTTACAAGCATTTCCTTGACAAACAAAAGACCACTCTGTCCTTTAAAAGCTTGGAACAATCTAATCTTATTCTAGGAAAAGCGCTAGCGTTTCTTTGGCATAAGCCTTTATTCAAAAGCTTATCCTAATTTACGACAAGCAAGGGTCAATTCACTATAACCCAACTGTGAATAGATCTCCTGTAGTTTTATTTTTGCGGATACACCATTTGTACTGTCACCCATTTGGGGATAGAACCCTATGCGAAATCTTTTTTACTCTTTTACCCTCAGGAGGTCTATTTGTTAAAAAAAAATCATTCTCTTTCGCTAAGGGTAAAAGAGTCAAATGAATTCACACAGTTGATTTATCAGCAATAACACAACAGCATGTCTATCCACAGTTGCGCAATAGTACAGGGCTCCATTCGCAATTCACCCTAAAAACAAAGGTAATGAATCAAGTAAATCTAACAAATCCATCTTGCATTTCCAGAACTTGTACAGCTTGGGAGCAAGGAAAATGGGGGTGACATCACTTCCACCACTAGGTTGCCTACCGGCAACAATAACACTCTTCGGCGAAGGAAGCAACAACTGCGTTGCTCGCCTTAACAGAGACGCAGTCAACTTCAACAGGAAGCTTAATGCAGCAGGCAATGCCCTTAAGAGGGCACATCCTGGGCTAAAGTTGGTTGTCTTTGACATTTACAACCCCCTACTTGACCTCATCAAAAACACTAGCGATAATGGTACATGCTCAGACTAAAGAATTAAGATTCTGATGTTTAATTGCGTAGAGATACTTTCACCCGATTGCAGATAGACTCAGTACTTCTATTGTTGGACAAATCCCCGGTACTATTTGCCCAAGTGCAGCTAGAACCCCTATTGAAATTTTCTACTCTCAAAAGAGTTCAAAAAGGTCGCTCAGGGGGTGTATCTGCAAATAGAACTGCAAAAGGTCTATCTACAATAGGGCTAGCACAGGGATCTATCTGCAATTAACCCTTACATTTACGCAATGTGTATGCTAATGAATTTGTCATGGTCCTAAATAACAGGATTCTTTGAGGCAAGGAAGGCTTGTTGTGGGACCGGGACAATCGAGACATCTCTTCTATGCAATGAGAAATCACCAGGGACTTGTGCTAATGCCACGGGCTATGTGTTTTGGGACAGCGTCCATCCTTCGGAGGCTGCGAACAAAGTCCTGGCTGATTCACTACTGTTGCAAGGGATTGATCTCATCTCTTAAACCAATGTGATGTTCTTTTGGATCTATTAATATAGCTATATGTGGTGAGAGATTACATGAGTTACAGAATTTGTTAATGGTAGGTTTGTTCTGAGAGCTGATTCTGGCGTGTGTACCATTAGTAGTGGGTGCTTAGTGACGTTTGGGATGAACGGATTTATCTAGAGCTAGAATTCGAAACTTATGAGGCTTGTTTTAATATTGGTTACAAAGTAGAGATTGTGATTGAAGTTGTTAGCAACTTCTCTCTGCAGCTTTCACTAAAACAGGTTATGGTAAAGACCTCTTCAGAAGAGGCAAAGAATGCACAAAGTGTTTTGTCTAAGGTTTTGAGATACTTATTATGCATTGCATGATGATGGTGACTCCAAGACCCACAGAAAATGAGGTCCTAAACGACGTCCATTATCTAAACTTTTCTTTCACTACCAAAAAAACGACCATGACTATTGAGATGATAATAACCATATCGGAGATGAGCCAAAGGGATCTAATCGCAACTGTTAAGAGCGCAAAGGCAAGAATAACTGGACGAAACAACGCTAACAGGATTTATCTAAATATTTAAAGACTTTGAATTCTTTAATTATATAATTCAATCAAACAGTTGATCAATTCAATCTCCTTCAGAAAAATAGGAGACAACCTCCTGTCCTAGTATATGACGATTAAGTTTAACTATTAAATGACTACAGTTATCCATCACATAAATTAACATGGTTAAAAAAAATAACCCCTATTTAACTTAAAGAAAGCATCAGTTTTGCTTTCTTTCCTTTCCTAACATATCCTCATGTATCTTCTCGTTGTCACTTGCTTTTACTCCCGCGGCCAGGAAGTTAGCAGCAAATATCAACCTACGGTCAGTCCAAATCTCAGTAACAGCAAATTTGATCCCAGTGACAATCTAACAATTCCCACAGATTGTTGACCGGGCCTAGCACAGTAGATCATGGGTCTAATCACAAATCGTATTACTTTTGAGCCTAATAATGTTATTGTTATCTTGGCAGTCTTCACATTATATATGTTGTATTGTGCAACATCGTGGTTAGCGCTTGATGGTCCCCATGTTGGATGTCGGAGGTTGGTGACATTTTAGAGTGGTAATCTTTATTGTGTGCGCGCTTTTAACTATTTGTGTTTTAATTTAATTTAGATAATTCAGTAATTTCAATAAATTGTGATATTCAGTATATTCATATTGTTCAGTGTCATAATCTTTAAGGCCTCTGTGTTACAGTGCCCCTATCTTGTCATCTCGTTTAATCATGTTCGTGTCTTTGTCTGCGACCTTCCAACCCAGAAAGTTCCTAGATAATCAGTGAATATGGAAGATATACAAGAATTCATCAACCATTTTCTCCAGCCACAAGCTCTAAATGGTAATAGAAATGTCTACATAAATAATTAAAATAACATTCATTACAAAAAATGATCTTCTCTTAACTATGCACATGCTGGTACCTATGGTAGTGCTTCCACATTTTTTCAGTAAAAAGTAATAATATACACAGTATATCGAGCGATGGAAAAGACAAACGAGCCAAAATAATCTCCAGCCATTTTATATTAATTTGAGTACCTCTAGGAAAGTTCAAACCCAGTATTTGAACTGATTGCATACAGCAGCTTGTTCCTCAGTGTACTTGGCCGTTTGTACGTTGGCAACTACGAAAGAAAATACAATGAGATGAACATAAGTTGGGAAGCACGCTTGGTCCTAATGGCAAGACTTAAAAATTGCATTATCATTTTCCATCAAAAGAAATACTACTGGAGAGTAGAATCCATTCCGTTTAAAGAAACTGGACGAAAAATTATAATCCAATAATGTAAGTTGTTTACGAAAAGTAATTTAGTTCAGGAAAAATAAAAACAGATCATATATGATCATCATTTTATTATAATTTGGAGATAAAGAAGGGGTAGGAATAATTTGTTTCCTACCTTTAGTGTGTTGTAACACGTTGATGCTGATGGAAGACGATCCACGTCCTGCCCACCTATTGAAGCCCAAAGAGGTAGATCACATGCAACCTAAATGCATAATGTCAAATTTCATTATCACGGAATACGATATAACCATAGATCACTACGGCAATTCATAGTCATCCAAAAAAAAGTGTAGAAAGGAATATTATGTATCATATAATGCATACAGTTGCATCTAGTTTCACAAAGATCTCGTCAAGAAATTTTACACACCCATGTGTGTGCATACACATGCAAAAACATCTGCTTGGTATGCTTTTACACAGGGTATAAAAGAAAAGAGAATGCGAGAATTGTCAATATCAATTAGTCCTCTAATTCATTACAAGCTAAAAAAAAGTACTTCAGATGGATTGACTGAAAGAGTCCCCCATAGTGACCAAATAATTAATATTCACAAAGAAAATGGATCACATTATCTGCAAAGGAGAATAATGTCATATTACCGTCCTCGGACCAGATATATCTGACGTTCTACCCATGCGGGCCTTAAACAAGCACAACATTGATTTAGTTTACTGGTTATTGTTTCATGGTTTTTAAAAAAAAGTATATTATGATTTCCACTACTGATTTAAGTCTTACATTCCACATTTTCTAGCATAATAATTTTGAAATGATAACACAGTATCAAGTTAACTAATAAAGCAGTTTAACAGAATTGAATATTCACCAAGAATGCTAAAGTATGCATATTCCCCGAACTCATATATCGGATGCCGTCTACTAGAAGACACAACTGACATGTCCAAACAGAGATGGCTTCATGATATAAAAGAACGCCTCTGTTAAAAGTAATGTGTATAGCATACACCATAACATAATTCCATCTAAAAATTGTAAGGATCTTCTAGAAACGAAATTTTAGCCAATCCAAGTCTCTCATTGGAATTGTCAGATGAGGCATTGTAATTCAAAATTTCAACGATATCACAATGGGGCAATGGTGCGGCACTTAAAAGTACCGATATACACAATGCGAACGAAAGAGAGACTAAAAGGGATCACACCTTATGGATGGTGAAAGAAGGTTGTAAGTGCTTGAAACCAAGTAATGGAGCGCGTGAACAACTTGTTACGAACTTAAGTAACATACACCGTTCATTTGGTTTGAATCCTCTTATAACCTGCAATTGAATCAGAAAAACATGAACTCAGAAACTTATTATAGAACCCCTATTTGATGTTCAAAGTTCCATAAATAGTATAAGCACATATGCTCAAATGAGTGCAGAAAAAAATTGTAAAAGCTTGCTTTTATACTAGCAACTTGCCGCAACTAAAAAAAGAAGCGAGGATAAAAAGACCTTCCACACATAAAAGAGGGAAAGAAACAGGGGCATAAAATAAAAACTAAAGAATAACCAATAACCGTAATGTGCCCCCTAAATGTTTCATTTTAACAAGGGAGCTGGTTAGCTGTTTGCACAGAAGGACAGGGGTTACTAGGATTCTTTGAGGAAACCAAGGGGTTGTTTTGTAAGTGGAAAATTGTAGCTGTAATTGCAATTGCAACTTGCAAAACACAGATAAATCATCTCATTTGTAATTGCCAAAAAAACATTAAAAAATTAAAATTTTGATTGTAAGTGGTCACAAAATGGATGACCTCAACTAGCAACTTGTTTATTTAAAGCAAAAATGAGAATCCAAACAACTGGTCACCTTGGAAACCATTTGAAAAGTTTCAAGCCTGTCAAAGCTATATTCATCTCCATTTAGCAGAGGACAATGGAAAAGCATAAGATCTTGTATGGATATTTGGCACAAAAAATATTTAGAGTATAGTATGTCAGAGATAGACCTTGAAGAACCAGAAAGTAAATCCTCACATTTATGGTATAATGTCAGCATAGTTATAAAAACGAAAATGTTTTCTGCTTAATTGGATATAAGTGTTTTCGTAAATTATATGAATCTCAATTTGATATATAAGTAGATTCTGAGAAGATCTAAGAATAACACAAAGGATTAGCTTGACGACATCCTGTTAAAGACACTACTGATTGTGATAAGTACAAAGAAGTAGGATTCAGAGTACAGATTTCCAAAGGAAATAGGTAGTAACTAATAACTCAAAACCCTAGAATTAGTATGACATAATCTATACAACTATATAAAAAACCAACTAAGGGTAGTGCAAAGTTGGATGAGTGGTGGACAAGTCCTTTTTAATTGTAATTGAAAGGTCAAAAATGTAATTTTACAATAATTAGTGTTTTCTCTCTTCTTTTGTTTTTTGCTTGTAGAATATTCTATATCAATCAATGTCGCAAGAAAATGAAGGCCACATAATTGAATGTTTTCTTCATATTTTATGTTATAAAAAAGTAAAGTTCTATGCATATATCTATACCATAATTTACTTATACTAATACATAAAGAAAATCAATGGAGGATTTTAGGTTCAAAGAGACATTGCTTGACTGTTATTCTCTCTGCCTATCTATTAAATGCACTCTCTATAAAAAGATGAAATTATCTTCATATATATTTATTAATTCAAAAATAAAATGTTTTCATAGCACGTGAAAAAATTCTAGTAGATAATAAAAAATACTTCAAGCAAACAATTGTATGCAAATGGTATGGTGCTTTTTACATTAAATCTGAAACCGCTGCACATTTAACTCATAAACAAATGTGGGATGTCATGTTGCAAGATAACAATTGAAAACAAAGAAAAAATATAAGTATACACGCATGCACGCATCCATGAAACCAAAGGTTATGAATGTGATGTAACATATGCTGAAATTTCCATCATAGATATATATATACCTCCCAAAAGATTTTAACAGTCCGACTTCCTTCAGTATAGCCACCAGTATACCTTGTGTTGCTTCTCAAATCATCAACATCGAAGTCATGTTTTCCTCCTGAGAGCAACTGTATGGCAAAATAGTCATCATCGGAGATATAAATTTTGCAGTAGCATTCATAAATAAAACTGGCAATATATTCCACTAATTTGTATTCAACAAAAACGAAGAATGAAGAGAACAATTCACAGTTATATGTTAGTGTATAATAATCCAACAGAATTATAGATCCCTTTCACTATATTTCTTTTTGACAGTACAACGTTAAGGCATGATCAAGACCACATGCATTGAAAAGATTTGTCAATATAAAGAATACTATGAAGGTGATTTTGGCATGGATTC